TGATACTATAAAGATTTATTAACTTTTAACGCTTAAACATAAGCGGTATCACTATAGATATGATTTCTTTCATTGACTATACTTTGAAGGATACATAACCTGAAAAGCCTTAAATGCCAAATTTTCAAAAGACTGTGTTCCGTACTTGGTCACGTGGTGGGACTTTGAGGTGTGGAGCATAGTACCTATAATTATTGCTGGAAATTGATGAAAATTGGTCAGGAAAACCTGGAAAAGTCAGGGAATTTTGTTTCATTTTCTTGGTGGGAACCCTACAATGTAGTATTTTCTTTAAAAATTATAAAATTGGTTAAAAATAAATAATGCAGAAAACCATGGGCGTAATTTCAGCTTTTTAACTGGGGTGGCAAGACGTACCCCCGGTCTGGGGGTAGGGCTGCCAGATTTTTAGGTTAAAAGAATAAAATTTTATTCAGACAAAATTATACATTTTGCACAGATATTACAACTTTTAATCGAAATAATGGTAATATTAACTTTAAGAGTGTTTAAGTTTTGTTCCCACTATTTTAATAATATCTTTCCATTCATGGCTTAAAATTTGTCAAATTCCCTACAAGATTAAGTGAATTTCTCTCTTTTCTCCATGCAATAACCATTAAACTGGACATTCTCTTACTAATTATAGAACCATATTGTTTTTTTTTATGAAAATGTCCGATTTGTTCTGTCCTTTAGGCTAAAGGCTTTAGCTGGAGTACCGCTCCATGGCGAAAATATATTTGAATACCTATGCTAGCACACTTTATTAACAACATTATTAGTTGATTAAAGGAACTTAAAATATATATTATAATCTATGATCATTTCGTAATTATAATTAAGCGTATACGATTAAGCTTGCCAAAAAACGAGTTTACGGAAGGTTTTCAATGAAGTCGGGAGAATAAAGGCGTCTTTTAAAAATCGGGAGGCTTGCTTTAAAACCGGGAGGCTCCCGCCTAAATCTGGAGGGCTGGCAGCCCTATCTGGGGGTATGTTATGCCACCCACGTGTCCGGTGGTTAGTTTGTTAGTTTTTTAAGGTTTTTCGGTCAATTTTTATTTAAAATAATTGGTTACCCTAAAAGGTTCATTGTTAAAATTACTTTTATTAATTGACAAAACATTTGTAAATTATAATTAATTCAAGAGGTTAGTTAATTAAAAATGGCAGAAAACTTAATTAAAAATAGGCCTATAGGCTATGTTCTGCCTCTTCTTTTATCATGTAAAATCTTACGTCCACTTTTGAGTTTAAAAAATATGTAGGTATTATACCTAACTTAAATTTGTTTAAAAAAATTAATCATTTTTTTAAATGTTGCCCGCAAAGAAAGTTTAATGGCTAAAATCTCACGTGAGGGATATGGAAGGTCTTTTTTGAACCCAAAAGTTGACGTGATATTTTAAATGACCCCTCCTTCCTTAGCATGATATTTGGTGAGATTTTGCTAGACCCTCCCCTCCCTATTTTTATCTCACGTAATTAATAGATGTCTCAAAATATTTAAAAAAAAAATTAAAAACGTTTTAAAACTTAAAATCCTTAAACGTTTTTAATTTTCTTTATATTTTGAGAAACGCTTCGGTTTTTTTAATTTATAAATTTTATTTTAACAGACTTAATTACGCAACTTTCCTCTAATTTAACCGACCTTGTAGCTCAAATAAAAAATACTCATGCAAGTAATATACACATTATAATACACATAGAAGGATACTTGGTGGCACCAAGTTGGTGCACCCTGTATATACAGGCCTAAACACCGTATAGTCGCCATTTCCATCATTTCATTGGTTAAAATTGTCAGCAATAGAACTGAACGTAAATCGTAACTCTGATACCACTGGTAGAATCTGTCAAGAAGGCTGCCTATCCCCCCACTTTTTTAAACAGTGTTGCCAAACGTTTTTGCTTAAAATCTAATGCCCTAAATTTTACCAAGAACTTTTAATTTGAATTAGTGACGGATAACATGATGTTTATTTATAGCAAACAATATTTTTTTATTGGTTTATTATTTATTAGCAATTTTCCAAAAATAATGTTGCACTTCGCATACTTCCATGTTTTAAAATATTCTTTTAAAAAAATCTCAAAAACTATGTATTTATTATTGAGTGTAACAAGTTTTATAGGTAAACGCCATTTTAGTTATGAGTTTTATTAGGCACGAGCGAAGCTTGCGCTCCTTGACAATAATTGAGGTTATATATCAGATAGACACTTATTTAATTAAACACTCGCTTGTAAGCTCGCTCGTGACTAAAATGGCGTTTATCACCTTGATACATAGGTAATGTTCTATAGTATATTACGTAAAGTTAAAAGTAAAGCAGGACACGTTAATACACTCACAGGCAAAATAATCGATCCACACAAATTTTCGATTAATTTCAATCACATATAACTTTTTCATTTGATTTCGGATTTAAACAAATATTAAAGAATATTGTAGATAAATTAATGGACAATCGCTTACATTTTAAAAATTACGTACGTTTATAATATACTGGTTTAAACAAAAAGATGTTTTTTACCATAAGTTTAAGACACTCCGTAGAGTGGCAAAATCGTATATTGTTCTAAATTAAGTTTTAATTATTAATCCACATCTATTTTTAACAGTTTTGTTTTTGGTTCACGTTGATATATTTATTTATGTGGAAAATATGGATTTAAAAAAAAACATTGTAATTTCCAATCTTTTTTCTGTACTAAGAACTAAGGTTGGTATGGTCCATCCATAGCCTATGGAGGATGACAGTGACAGTTTTGTTGAATCATCCCATACTTGGACATGTCATATACGGCCTACAAAAGCTATCAAATTATTATAAAAAATTAATAATAATTAATTAATTATAATTAATTAATGTGTTAATTTTGAGGTGTCCTTGCAAATTAATGTTTAACTTTTGAGACGTCTTCTTACTTTTAAAAATTTATATGTCTCCGACTGATGTTGCCCTTTGTACTTCTAGTGACGTTTAAAATACTTGCCACGTAATTCTGTGACCGTCCATCCTAAATTAAATCAATAGCTCTGGCAACATCAGTCGGATACATATCCATTTTTAAAAGTAAGAAGACGTTTCAAAAGTTAAACATCAATTTGCAAAAAACAATTTGATAGCTTTTGAAAGCCGTATATGACATGTCCAAGTATGGGATGATTCAACAAAACTGTCACTGTCATCCTCCATAGCCTATGGATGGACCATAGCAACCTTAGTTCTTTGTACAGAAAAAAATATTGGAAATTGCAATGTTTTTTAAATCCATATTTTCCACAAAAATAAATATATCGAGGTGAACCAAAAACAAAACTGTTAAGAATAGATGTAACTTGATAATTAAAACTTAATTTAGAACAATATACGGTCACGGTCACGGCCACTCTACAGAGTGTGTTAAACTAATGATAAAAAACTTCTTTTTGTTTAAACCTGTATATTATAAATGTACATCTATTTTTTAGTAATTTTTTAAAATGTGAGCGATTCTCTATTAATTTATCAACAATATTCTTTAATAGGTATTCGTTTGAATCCGACATCGAAAATTTGTGTGGATCGATTATTTTGCCTTATGGATATCAAATTCTGAATCAGGGACTCCATAAATATCTAAATAGTAAATTGTACCCAAACCATTACCACAAAATTGCGGATTCAAAATGGACATGTGGAGTAGTTACATCATATATATGCATGCGCATATATGATGTAACTACTCCACATAGATCCAACCATCTTGTACCTACTGCGCATGTCCGTCATTTTGAATCCGCAATTTTGTTTTTTTTAATGGATATCAAATTCTGAATCAGGGACCCCATAAATATCCAAATACTAAATTTTACCCAAACCATTAAAGCCGAACGACGAATTTTCCTCATATTGGATCAGCCATTTTGTTTAAAAAAAATGGATATCAAATTTGTAATCAGGCCCTCAAAAACCACATGTTGTTGATAAGTTTATTGAATAAGAAATGCTTATTAAGCATACAGGTTTTTTTTTAAATAGTATAAGGAGTGCCATAGATGTGCTTATACCGGGTAAATTTAAAAAATTATTATTATTTTATAAGTATTTTTTTCTTGGTTAACGTTAAGTTGTGTTATAAAATAATACAACGTTAACCAGGAGCAAATTTTGTTTATTATGAAATTCGAATAATGTTCTCATTGGTCCAAATAAATATCGTCATTTATGTGCAAAATTATAATTTTTATGTAAAAAAAAATTGTTACCGGAATAATCGAGAGAACGAGAGAGATCGAGAGAAACGAGAAATTCTCGAGCGAGAGAGGGCATTCTCTCGTCTCGTCTCGAGTCTTTTTTCGAGAGAAAATCGCCCTCTCGTCTTGTCGAGACGAGACGAGACGAGACGAGAGGCGAGAATCTCTCGTATCGGCGGCATCACTAGTACTGAGCTTAAGTACGTTTCCTTGAAAACTAATCCATGAAAACATTTTCCGCATGCGAATTTTGTTGACTGAATTTTGGTGCAACAGGAACGTGTGAATAAACACAACTTAATAAAATTAGATGTATTTATTTTAATACAGAGATGATACTCGGTTAAATGCTAATGAATAACTGATTAAAAATAACAAGAGCAGACTGCCACTCTTACAGAGAAAACTGAGTAGTCAGCCCTTTTTAAATATAAGAAAAAATATGACGAGGTTCTCCGTTTCTTGTGTGGTCTTTGAAAGCACCAAGGAACTTGTATACGTCGCATTTCCTCTTGGTAACATTTTGTTTATAGTATCTAAATATCGTAAATATTGTTTTATAAAACACATTAAATTGACAGTGTTTTATTGCGCTACACATGAAAATAAAAACGTATCATTATATAATAAAAATAAGTAAAGGTAAAAATAACGCCAAATTGAACGTGTTCGTTCAACATGTGCATAATTTATAGCAAAAGTTAACGATATTATGTTTAGTAATGTATAGGACCATTGTACATTTTGTAAAATGGCGTTTAATATTATACTTTTTTTACAGAACCTAAATAATCCCATGGACGAGAACGAGGTATATTTATTCGATGACTTTGTCACCAAAGATAGTATTTACATTATAGACACTAAGTTTGTAGAAAAGGAAAACGATTGTCGGGCTGAGTAAGTTTTTTTTATATTTATAATGCATACACAAAATATATGTAAATATTTTACTCAATTTTAGTCCAAAATTCATAAATGAGCTTTTACGTTAAGGGTTAAAAGTCCTATTTTAAATGTATGCTAATTTTCAAGTAATGGTAATTCTGACAATGTAAAATAATTAAAATATTTTAAAAATAAATTTGTTTACGTGATATTTAATAAAAAAAATGAAACGGTGTTTTCTAGCATTTAATACTTAATAAAAATTTGTTTTAGCTGTGAAAGCTTAGATACACATGCATCACTTGATAGTGTTAAATTGAGTAATTCTTCTGAAGGCTCCAAAAATTCGGGACAATCCCAAGTCAATAAAGAAATTAAAGAAGAAATAGCGAACCATTGCCTGGATGATTTACATGTTGAAAGCGAGTAAGTATTATTTTTAGTTCGTGTGATGATTAACTAAAACCTACATTTTAACTTTTTAAATTTAATTTAAAGCGACAAAAAAAATAATAAAATCTATATATCCTATGCTATTTTTCGGCAGATAAATCCTTACTTTGCCACAAAGATATTAAAACTTAACATTATATGGAGAAAGTATATTTAATATGTGGTCTATGGTTATGTTCATTTGTGTTCATGCTTAACTTATAGTCATTCTCATTTACCCATATATGAGTAAATGAGAATGAGTTAAGCATGAACACAAATGAACAAAGTATACTTCCTATAACAAAATTCGGCATTGAAAAGTTAAAAAACAAGAAGATTGGTTGGTTTCTTTCAGAGCACTTAACATATTTGGAAATTGGCCATCTGATCCGGTTGTCTCAGAATGTCGTATAAAGTGTTTTAAGAGAAGAGTTATTAATGAACAGGCAATCAGTCTTATTCGAAAATACAACCAATTATTGAACAAGGACGAAGATCAGATTCAGTATATTCTTTACCTAGCTTAAATTCACCTAAGCCATAAAAATCCTCCCTTATTATACTTCGTATATTTTGATTTTAGTGTTTCATATTATTAATTTTCCTATTGTACGTTATATATACGTTATGGGCGACCTTTAAATGTTATTTGATTTCAAAGGGAAAAAATATATAAAACTTTTAATACCCATTCATAATTTTAGATCTAAAATCAACGATAGTGCTGAAGAAAGTGACAATTCTGATGATGGAGAGGAAAGTAAAGATTTCTATTGTAATATTAAGGAAGAAGGAAGGGACGGTGACTTTTCTGAAGAATATGATAAAAATTCGGCACGCAATGAAGATAAAGATGAGGATGAAGCCATGTTTGAGACGAAAATCGAGGTGGAATATCATGGGGTTCAATGTAGTGATATGAGTGGCAAGGAAGAGCTATTTAAATGTGACTTTTGTCTTAAGAAATTTCAAAGAAAGGGGAGTTTATTAAATCATAAAAAGAATTTCCACTTAAAAGACGAATGCAACAAATGTGATTACGTAACTGTAAAAAAATATTATTTTAATAGGCATTTAAAAATGCACGATAAAAAAAATAAATTAAAATGCCATTTCTGTCCTTACATGGCAGCCAAATTAAGGACTTTAAATTCGCACATTCTAAGCAAACATAAACTAGAAAATGTAGGAGAAAATAAAATAAAAATATCAAGTAAAATCCATGAGTGCTCAAAATGTTTATATGCATCTGTGAGTAAAACAAATTATACGAATCATATTAAAGTTTGTTGGAAATTAAAAAATATCGAATGGTATAAGTGTCAAATTTGCCCCTTTAGAGCTATTCAAAAAAATAAATTAACAAGGCATATTAAAACTCATACTAAAATAAAAGATTTGAAATGTTCTTTCTGTCATTATCAATGTAACGGGAAACAAAATTTAGACAACCACATCTTAAGAAAACATTCGGATTTATTAAACGAAAACAATAAAAATATCATCACTTCCAAAATACATTCTTGCAAACATTGTTATTTTAAATCAGCAATGACAGATTCATTTAAAAAGCATTTAAAAGTTCATCATTAAAATTAAGTTTATTTGTAAAGTAGCTTTACACTTCGCGTATTGCGATTTTTTTATCTTGAAAACTTGTTGAAAAATTTGTTTTAACGAAAATCTTAGCGACTAATATCATTTTCAAGAAAAAACTTGTAAAGCTACATACCTATTGTTCGCAATATTTGTTACATAATTCGGTTGTGTTGTGTCCGTGTAATTGTAAATAAACATTTCTTTATTTAGAAACTATTTGTTTTTTATTTAACCCTTTTCAAATGTATACAGGGCGTCTCAGAAGTCGCACACCACATTAAAGATATACGACAGGATGTGCAACAATTGATAATCACAACAATTAATTGGGGTATTGACTGTTATCTGTTGACATCACACCATAGACAATGATTTACAGTTATTGTTAAAATTCAAAATTTATTATTATTATTCTGTCATAGCATTTCTGTTAAATATTTATACCTATTTATTTATTTAGTGAGTAGTATTGTGATCTGTGTGTTGTGTTGAAGAAGGCTTAAAAATGTCAGTCAGCCTGCAGGCTGACACATGTGTGTGTGTGTGTGTGTGCGTGTGTATGTCAATGTATTGTTTATGTTTGTTTAGTTTTTCTTTATTATGGTTAAATGTTTCTGACAAAACTTTAACGTAAAATAAATAACTTTTAGGCAAAAGTAACGAATTTGACACTTTTTAATATTGTATACAACATGATGATTAGGAATTAAACTACCACTTTATTATATATACGCTACGCGCGCATCATCTGGTGGTGATCGAAAGCATTATTGAAATACCAGGTTTGTCAACAATACATTTGAAGCATACGAACATCATTCATAAATAGATAATTAGTTTTTTCTACTAGCGTGCATAAAGTAACACTTATCCTCTGAGTATTGTGATGTGTGTGTTCTTCGCGTATTGCGATTGCGATTGTAAAAGTGTCGCGTTGTAATACCCACACGGAACAATTACATCCAATGGATATCCAATGGATATCCAATGGATTTCTTTTATGGATATCCAGGATATACATAGGATATCCGGGATATCCAATGGATAACCATTGGATATATAAATGTCCGACCCTCCTGGACGTAGTGTGGATATCCAATGGATATCCAGTGGATATAGTATTGTATGCAATAAGGTTGTAATCTGTATTCAATATGGAGATTGTATGGATATCCAATGGATAGGGTATTTAATGCAATATGGTTGTCATCTGTATTGGATATGGTGAATCAATGGATATTTACTTTTCAATAAATATCATTGGGTTTTAAAATAAAAGTCTTATTCTTTAATTTAAATATTTATTTTTATGAAAACATAAAAAAGAACAAAAAACTACATATAACTAAAGAAGTGAAGTCTCTGGCTTGCCATCACTCCTCCACCTGTGACAGGTGACCTGTCATTTGCCTTTTTATCAGCCTAATCATTTAGGGCCTATTTCACCTGTCTCCTTATGATCCCCAAAATTTGGCCAATCCATCAGCCCATTTGTTACCCTCGAGCCTATGTATAGCTTACAAATAAAGGTACGGTATATAAATGCATGCATGTATTCTCCTTTAATGTTTTACCTTCAATGCTACCCGAAAGTTTATAAATTGCACTTAAATATACCTACCTATTTAATTTAAAATTGTATTAGTTTTAGACCAATACAATTTAAAATGATAACTATGATTAGAAAATTAATAAAATATTCACTTACCACTATAGACCTCAAACAAATAACCACAAAACACAATAACTTGGCAATAAACTTTATGACAAACATATAACAAATAGCAATGATGGCGAATGAACCTTTACAATCTGTGGAATGAAGCAAATAAACATGAAAACCCTTTGCATGTACCTAACAATCATGGCATCATATTTAACGGACGCTACCATAGAAAAAGGACGCTTCTTTATCTTCTGTGTTCGGCGGCAGTGTTGTCAGACGTTTAAATAATTTCAGAAAGCTCATCAAAATGGCGGTTATATATTATTAAATTTTTAATACTTAATTAATTAGTCTACCTACTAGGTATTACCTAGTATACCTATTTAACATAAATGTGGTGAGTAATTATTTTAAATTTATTTAATTTATTTATTAAAACTTAATAAAGTACGGAAATATATTTCGTTTAGTTATTTTGCTTCTAACCGGCCACACTGAAGATTCTCAAATTCAGCGCGTGCGTACTACTATGAAATACAATAATAAACAAAAGGGACTTAAGTAATTTTTTAGTGTATTGCAGACTGTCATAGTCATATTATTAACAGAAATAATATCTAGGTAAAGAGAACATTTTAAAATTAAAAATTTCGTAGCTCTTGGCAAAAAATCAATTTACCGTAAAGTTGTTTTTTTGACATATGCCAGTTCTCAATTAAACCATCAAAAAATCCCACATGTATACATACAAGTATATATAGAAGATATCCATATCAGTTATCCACTGGATATCCAGTGGATATCCAGTGGATATACATTAGATGTACAGTGGATATACTTTAGACATACATTAGTTATCCATTGGATATATATTAGAGATACTTTGTTGAAATTGGTTTAATAACGATTTAAATCATATTTATTAATCATTACATAAATTTATCCAATAAGGGCTAATTTTAAGAAAGAAAAAAATATTTATTTAATGTTTTTGTTTTTTTTGAACATCCAGTATGGATATCCATTGGATATCCAATGGATATCGTAAAAGGCATGGATGTTATATGGACATTGGGATAGCCATTGGATATCCATTGGATAGCGTGTTCTGTGTGGGTATGAGACGCCGTTTGCGTCAAAATAGAAGTGTAGAAAATAAATAAAATATCTCCCACAAAATATAGAATTTAACGGAAAATGCATAAAAAACACAAAATAAATAAAATATAACAAAACAATTAAAATCCAACAAAACATATAATACACCTGTAACAAAAAAAAAATTGAACAAAACCTATACTAGACCTATAATAAAACAAATAAAATCCAACATATAGAAAATCAAACAAAAAATAGAAAAGCCAACAAAATATTAAAACTCGGGTTCCTCACTTGATCGTTTGAGGGCGCTAGACGCACAAGAATTAAAAACTAAAAGGATGTAAAGAAACCTTAAAAACTTACCGTAATGGCGAAAAATCTTGCACTATTAGTTTTCTTGTTTGCTTTGTTATATTTTATATACCTATTTTGTGTTTTCTATAAATTTTCCGTTAAATTCTATATTTTCTATTTGACGCAAACAGCGTATCATATTTTAAGCTTGAAAACGTGTTGAAAAAAGTGTTTAAAGGAAAAAAGTGTCTCCAAAATCTCAGCTATTAATATCATTTACATGAAAGAACTTGTAAAGTTACCTATTGTTTTCAATATTTGTTACATAATTCGGTTGTGTTCGTGTAATTGTTTATAAAAATTTCTTTATTTAGAAACTATTTGTTTTTTATTTAACCCTCTCCGAATGTATACATGGGGTCTCAGAAGTCGCGCACCACCTTAAACCTGAAAAGTCTACAGACCACCAGGAATCCTAGAAAATTGTAAAAAAAATCTACCTTTATTATTTAAAAAGATGACATCGTAAACATTAAGTTTTTAAACTTAAAAATAATAATAACCTAGATTAAAATGTTTCCAGTCTTATTATATAGATTGATTAGGAATTAATGTTTCATTTTATACAAAAATTTTAACTTAACGCATGCGGTTTGGCATCTCTTGACATCACACCCACAGTTAGCCTAGAGGGCCTTTTCAAGAAAAAAAATATACATGATTTAAAACTCGGATTTTTTTAATACATATAAGATCTACTACTATTATCAAAAAAAATTAAAATCTTCTATCGAGCCCTTTTCAAGAAATTGTAGAAAATGTTTTTTTTGCTAGACATGTAAAAATGACCTATTAAAATACTATACTTTATTTTATTTCTTTTGAGATGATGTTGTTTACTACAACATTTGGTTAGTTTCTAACCTATAAATATGTAAAATAAACAATATCGTCAATATTTTGATTATTTTAATACTAACTGTCACACGCTTCGCTTGCGAAGTTGGCCATATTGTAAATACAGTCCTCAAACTTAGAATTATATAAAAAAAAATTTCGTATTTAAATCGTACATCACAACATTAACACCAAACTGTAAATACTAGTACCTAATTTTAATTTATGATTAAGAATAAAGAAAATATTTAACAAATACTTTACCTAAATCCTTACAAAATAAACAACTACAAATCAAAATCAGACTTAAATATGTTTACTATTAAAAGAACAAACGTTTCTAAGCAAATTGTAAAGATAATTCTTAGAATTATGGTTTAAATTATAATGTAAACTGTGCTGTTTGTAGGCATGATGGCATTGTTCTGATGCCTGTTCAGAATAATAGCCCAGTGGAGTATTCGTCATCTTAATAAATTCTGGGACATGATGAACTAACACATGCATTTTTGGTGTATATGGAATTTCTAGCTTTTCTAACTCGCACGCAAATCTTTCAATGTAAACTTCATAATTAATATCCAGTGATCCCCCAAAGCAGCTTGCAACTACTTTGTTAAAAGCTCTAAAAGCTGGAATATACTTGTTTCCTGAAAAAGTAGGTAATATCGAAGTATTCATTTAAAAAAAATAATCGCAACACAAGCTTGTGTTGCAAGAGAAGTTTGATTTTTTTTGAAGAACAATGCCATCATACCTACAAACAGCACAGTTTACATTATAATTTAAACCATAATTCTAAGAATTATCTTTACAATTTGCTTAGAAGCGTTTGTTCTTTTAATAGTAAACATATTTAAGTCTAATTTTGATTTGTAGTTGTTTATTTGGTAAGCATTTAGGTAAAGTATTCGTTAAATATCTTCTTTATTCTTAATCATAAATTAAAATTTGCTACTAGTATTGACAGTTTGGTGTTAATGTTGTGATGTACGATTTACATACGATTTTTTTTTATATAATTCTGAGTTTGAGGACTGTATTTACAATATGGCCAACTTCGCAAGCGAAGCGTGTGACAGTTAGTATTAAAATAATCAAAATATTGACGATATTGTTTATTTTACATATTTATAGGTTAGAAACTAACCAAATGTTGTAGTTAACAACATCATCTCAAGAGAAATAAAATAAAGTATAGTATTTTAATAGGTAATTTTTACATGTCTAGCAAAAAAAAACATTTTCTACAATTTCTCGAAAAGGGCTCGATAGAAGATTTTAATTTTTTTTGATAATAGGAGTAGATCTTATATGTATTCCAAAAATCCGAGTTTTAAATCATGTATATTTTTTTTCTTGAAAAGGCCCTCTAGGCCATAGACAAAGATTGACAGTTTTAATTTAAAATTATATTCTTTCATAGCATTTCTGTTAAATATTGACAAAAATAGACAAATTTTCATAATCCAAAAGGAATTTTGCACTTATGTATTATATTTTCATTTACACTGGATGGTTGAATTTCACTGGGACAATCTCAACTTTCCTAAATTGTTGTATTCTATACTTTTTTGTGTAGTAATGTATATGACCATTGTACATTTTGTAAAGTGGCGCTTAAATTAAGCGGCTTAATATTATATTTTTTTTTACAGAACCTAAACAATACCATGGACGAGAACGAGATATATTTATTCGAAGACTTTGTCACCGAAGATAGTATTTACGTTATAGACACTAAGGTTGTAGAAAAGGAAAACGATTGTCGGGCTGAGTAAGTACATATTTTAGATTTGCATATAAACTTACACTCTAAAAATGGTCCAAATTGATTAATAAGTTTTTAAAAAAGTCGTTTGAAAAGTGGGTTAAATAGTCTTATTTTGAATCTGTGGTATTTTTATGTAAACGTATTTTTCGACTACATAATGGTCATACAGTAAAAATTAGTTCGTTTAGGTCATATTTAAAAGCAACATTTTTAATAACTTCTTACAATTTACTGACTTGAAGCAATATAACACTGTTTTGAATTTTAATGGAGGCATGTTGGATTTGTGCATATCTGACAAGAATTGTGCTGTTTCCCGTGAAACCGTTCAAATGGTGTCAGAAGATAAATATCACCCTTCAATTTCTATTATCCTTAATGTTTCTTCAAGAAATTATTCTAATTTTCCCTCAAGTAATAGGAAAAAATCTTATAACTTTAAAAAAGCGAATTTTCCAGAACTATACGAGGCCATTTTACGTGAAGATTGGAACTTCTTAAATGCTTATATAGACCCTAATATGGCTTGTGATGCCTTTTACTCAAAACTCTATTCCCTATTTGATCTATATGTACCACCTCGTAAAGCTAGTAATAATAATTACCCCCTGTGGTTTAATAAGGATATTATAAAGAACATTAAACTCAAATCAAATTATCATAAGAAGCATAGAGAACAAAATAGCGAATACTATCTTAATCTTTTTAAAAGGACTCGTAGGATTTTAAAAACACAAATTGCTTCAGCTTATCGAAAATATATTAATAATATTGAGGAAAATTTGACTAACGATCCCAAAAAATTCTGGTCTTTTGTTAATGAAAAGCGAGGTCAAACGCGGATTCCAGCTAACGTCTTTTGTGGAAACATGAAATATGAGACTCCTCAAGACGTTGTCAATGGATTCGCCCACTATTTCAACAGCGTTTATACTAATACCACTCCTGACTTATCTAACTTACAAAGTAACTTCTTGAACAACTCCTCCTTACACATTAATAATTTTTCTGTCAACGACTTGTGGTGATGACCAAGTACCTAACTTTTTTATTAAAGATTGTAATCATGTCCTGGTTTATCCCTTACTTATTCTATTTAATCTTATCTTGTCTACGAGTACATTTCCGGATGTTTGGAAACTAACCAGAGTGTGTCCAATATTAAAATCAGGTGATCCCTGTGATTTAACCAACTATAGACCAATAGCTCTGTTGTCAAACTTTGCAAAGGTATTTGAATCTTCCGTCTACACAATTATTTACAATAATATCAAAAATATTATCTCTTCCCAACAACACGGTTTTATGAGCAAGCGTTCTACACTGACTAACCTTGCCGAATTCTCTCAGTTTACCTCCACATATCTCGATTCCAAATGCCAAGTTGATGTAGTTTACACGGATTTTTCAAAGGCCTTTGATAAGGTTAACCACGGGATTTTATTGAAGAAACTGGGGAACTTCGGATTTAGTCACTCTTTAATACAGTTAATCAAATCTTATCTTTATAATAGAAAATTATTTGTTTGCTATAATGGATTCAATTCAAACTATTTTGTTGCTACTTCTGGAGTTCCTCAAGGATCCAACTTAGGACCTCTTTTGTTTAATATTTTTATTAATGACTTATCTTTAGCTCTGTCTTGTCAACACTTACTTTTTGCTGATGACTTAAAACTTTTTCATAAAATATCCAGTACACAAGATAGTTTTTACCTTCAAGAGCAATTGGACACAGTAGCTAATTGGTTCAATTTAAATGAGCTGTCACTTAACATTAACAAGTGCAAAATTTGTACTTTTACCCTTAAAGCTTTGCCTATTGTCTTTGATTATTTTATTAATAACTCTATCCTTTCTCGCACTGATACAATCAAGGACCTAGGTGTCGTTTTTGACAGTAAACTTTCATTTAACGCTCATATTCAAAGTATATCCTCTTCCACTCTTAAACTTCTGGGTTTCATAAATCGTAACACATCTACTTTTAAAAATATCACAGCTCTGAACGCACTATATTGCCAACTTATTCGTTCTAGACTAGAATACTGCTCCATCATTTGGTACCCATGCTATCAATCTCAAATAAATATACTTGAAAATATTCAAAGACGTTACCTCAAGCTGATTTCCTATCGTACAGATAGAGTCTACCCCCCCCCCGTGGTATTGATCATAGCATTTTACTCGCACGGTTCCATTTTGATCCATTACATGTTAGAAGACAAGTTTCAAGCATTAAGTTTCTTTTTAAGTTGTTTAATAACAGGATCGATTCTCCTAGTCTCCTGTCGCAAATAAACATTTTTGTAACAAGATTGGGTTTACGATCAGAGACTTTATTTTATAACACAAACGCTAGAACAAATATTTTAATTAAGTCCCCAATACATGTTATGTGTCAAAATTTTAACCAAATTTGTAATTTATGTGATTTGTTTAATGATGGTTTTAGAAGTGTATCTAATACAGCCATGTTATTTTTTTCACTTAATACTTAAAACTTATATTTGTTATTGTTTTGTTAATTTGAGGAATAGGTAAATGATTTATTTTTTGTTATTATAAACACTTAATGGTGTTGTTATTACATATTATGTTGTCCTGTAATTGGAATTATGTATTCTGTTGGGCAATAAATGTTATTATTATTATTATTATTATTTGTTATATATTTGTTTATAAAAAGATTAAATTGTTTAATACCAAATAAAAATTGTTTTAGCTGTAAAACCTCAGATACATGTATCCATTGATAGTGTTAAATTGAGTAATTCTTCTGGATCCAGAAATTCCGGACAATCTCAAAGCAATAAAAAAATTAAAGAAGAAATAGAGCATTGCCTAGATGATTTACCTGTTGAAAGCGAGTAAGTTTTATTTTTAGTTCGCGCAATGATTAACTAAAACCTGCATTTTAAAAATAAAAATTATGTTTTTGAGTTTTTTAAATTTAATTTAAATCATTTAAAAGTCCGACAACAATACGTAAATTTAAAACAAAAATATTTATATAATATGCTATTTTTCGGCAGATAAATCCTAATTTTGCCTCAAAAATATTAAAACTTAACTTTAGATTAATATGGAGAAAGTATATTCTCTAATCTGTGGTCTATGTATATATATGTTCATTTGTGTTCGTGCTTTACTCATACTCATACTCAATTACTCATACTAACATTATAATGTTATAATGTAGTATACTAAGCCATCAAAAACTCCATTATTATATGTCGTATATTTTGAGTTTAGTGTTTCATATAATTAATTATCCTATTATACGTTATTCGTAATGGGAGATTTTAAATGTTATCCGATTCCAAACAGACAAAATATTGAAAACTTTTATTTTTTGTACCACTCCCATTCATAATTTTAGATCTAAAATCAACGATAGTGCTGAAGAAAGTGACAATTCTGATGTTGGAGATGAAAGTGAAGATTTCTATTGCAATATTAAGGAAGAAGGGACGGTGACTTTTCTGAAGATGATAAAAATTCGGCACAGAATGAAGAGAAAGATGAGGATTAAGCCATGTTTGAGACGGAAATCGAGGTTGAATATCATGGGGTTCAATGTAGTAATATAGGTGGCAAGGAAAAGTTTTTTAAATGTGACTTTTCTCTTAAAAAAAATCAAACAAAGTGGACTTTATTAAAACATATAAAGAATTTCCATTTAAAAGACAAAACGGAACAATTTAAATGCAACAAATGTGATTACGTAACTGTAAGAGAAGGTCATTTTAATAGGCATTTAAAAGTTCACGTTAAAAAAAAATAAATTAAAATGCTGTTTCTGTCCATACATGGCTGCCGAATTACAGACTTTAAATTGTCACATTCTAAGCAAACATAAACTAGAAAATGAAGGAGAAAATAAAATAAAAATATCAAGTAAAATACATGAGTGCACTAAATGTTCCTATATCACTGCTAAAAAATCAGCTTATGATAATCATTTTAAAGTTTGTTTGAAATTGAAAAATGTCGAATGGTATAAGTGTCAAATTTGCCACTTTAGAACTATTCGAAAAGATCATTTAACAATGCATATTAAAACTCATACTAAAATAAAAGACTTGAAATGTTTTTTCTGTCTTTATCAATGCAACAAAAAACAAAATTTAGACAACCACATTTTAAGAAAACATTCTGATTTGTTAAACGAAAACAATAAAAATATCATCACTTCCAAAATATATTCTTGCAAATATTGTACTTATAAATCAACAAAGGCAGATAATTTTAAAGAGCATTTAAAAAATAACCATTAACAAAATCATACATTATATTTAGGATTTAAAAATGTATTGGTAAGGTTGCTTTACAATTCGCGTATTGCGATTATTATTTATGTAAATAAAACAACTGATTTGTTAAACGAAAACAATAAAAATATCATCACTTCCAAAATACATTCTTGCAAACATTGTAATTTTAAATCAACAATGACCAATACATTTAATAGGCATTTAAAACTTTATCATTTAAATTTTAATGTATAATTTGTATGGCAGCTGTACACTTTGCATATTGTTTTAGCTTGAAAACTTGTTGAAAAATTTGTTTTAACGAAAATTCCACACCTGTAATTTTTAACCAATCAAAACGTGTATTTTTGATAGATCACCATGGCAACGGTTGAATTTTAGTGGAAATTTTTTCCTCGTGGGTACCCAACAGCGAATTATACTGGAAATTTTTTTGACGTTTATAATGTCAGAATATTTTTTTGACAATCTGGTTTTTATTTGTTTACATGATTATTTTGATACATTTCCATTACAAAGTTTAGATGTTTTCTATATTCGTTGGACACCTCCTTTCTTCTTAATGGCGAAAATGCAGGACTTGAAATAAATTAAATGTCTATGTCAAATGAAATATATATAATATTTAGACACTATTCTATTCACCTTTTTTTCCATTTAGCACTTTGAGTTTTGAATAGTTAAGATGCAAATATTCGTGAACAATTCAAAACAAATTTTCTTTCTTCAAGTAGGAGCCACAATCCTCTAATAATGCGGGTAAATAAGTCATTGCACGATGATTGATCATTACAGCAGACAATTTCACATTTTTTTACGTCGTGCCGCTTGACAGCTTCAAATAACTTTTAGGTTGGGGTTGACTTAGTTGCCATGGTAACTAAATAATCAAGTCGAGGTCAAGTTAAATCAAAACATAAATTTTAATTATTTAAACACAATTTGGTGTGGAATTTTCTTACCAAATACCACACGAGGTCAAATTAAATCCGGAAATTTTTTCTCCCTCATGAATATTTTTAGAAAATTATCCCTCCTCTTCGACTCGGGATAATTTTCAAAATATTCATGAGCTCGAAAAAATTTCCGGAAATAATTTGACCTCTAGTGGTATTACTACCCAAGTAACATTTATAGTTTTATGATTGTCTTCAAGAACGCTTTAAAACCAGGAATCGGTTTTATCCTTAAATCTCTTTACTCTCCAAGATATCTTAAAGTTAACTTGAAAGCATTAATAAGATCAAAAAGGCGCATCTTATTAAGGTTTTTAAATCCCCCTTGATAAAACCATGGGGTATTTTTAAAAGTCATCTTCAAGTACTCTTCAAGATAACTTAAAGCAGACTTAGAGATATCTGCAAGATAATTTTAAAACCAATCAAATTTTAAAATAGTTTTTAAAAAGATCACCATAAACCGATTTTTATAATTCTAAAACCTTTTTAAGATAAAACAGTATTTATAAATTAAAAGTTGCCAAGTGGATATCCAAGTATTAAATGTCTAACTAAATATATAATAATACATTAAAAATATAAAATCAATGTATTAGTTGCTCAAGGACAAAATTGTAAACGCAAAAAATTTTTTTGATAAAAGAATATAAAATACTTTTAAAAAGTGTATGCGCCGTATCAATAACGTAGTATTAAAGAAATATTAATTAATTTTTGTTAATATTTTTTGTCTTTATCCGGTAACTGCACTATGGGTTAAAATATATTTTTTAGGCTTAGGTAATAATATTATTAAATACCGATTATTCTTAATATTGTGTTAATTTTTACTATTGTTATTATTGCCAATAAGTTAAAATTGGTGAATGCCAAAATGGCACCTGTTAAAATGACAGATATGCCCTTTTTGACTTATTTAGGTGGTTTTAAGCATGGAATTGGTAGTTTCGGGCTAGTTGAAGTTAAAATTGGTAAATGCCAAAACGGCAACTGTCAAAATGACAGATACGCCCTTTTTGACTTGTTTAGGTGGTTTTAAGCATGGAATTGGTAGTTTCTGGGTAGTTGAAGCTAAAATTGGTGAATGCCAAAATGACAACTGTCAAAATGACAGATACGCCTTTTTTGACTTATTTAGGTGGTTTTAAGCATGGAATTTGTAGTTTTGGACTGGTTGAAGTTAAAATTGGTGAATGCCAAAATGGAAATTGTCAAAATGACAGATACGCCCTTTATGACTTATTTAGGTGGTTTTAAGCATGTCATTGGTATGTCGGGGTAGTTGAAACTACCAATTACATGCTTAAAACCACCTAAATAAGCCATAAAGGGCATTTTGACAGGTTCCATTTTGACATTCACCAATTATAACTTAATATACCACGAAACTACCAATTCCATGCTTAAAACCATTTAAATAAGTCAAAAAAGGCGTATCTGTCATTTTGACAGGTGCCATTTTGGCATTCACTAATTTTAACTTCAACTAGCCCGAAACTACCAATTCCATGCTTAAAACCACCTAAACAAGTCAAAAAGGCAATTTCATGCTTGGAAACACCGTGGGTTTTGCGTGGAAACACTGTGGGTTTTGCGTGTTTTCACTGTGGGTGTGGAATCACCGTGGTTACACGCCTGTACAAATGGAACAAACCGTGTTTCAACCGTGATTCAAAGACGGCGAGGGTAAGTAACAATAATTGTTATGCCGGTTTTCCACCAAACGGACAGTTGAGTTTGGGTTTTGTTTGTGTTTTTAAAAACTTGTAAATCAAAAACAAAACTGAAACAAACCCGAAACTCTTGTTTCCATCAAACAAACTAAGTTTTGTTCGAGTTTTGTTTTTGTTTTCGGTCCTTTTCCACTAGTTGTCGTGATTATGTCAGAACACACTTTTTCAGTATCAACCAACATCTTTAGAGAAAAAGATTTTCTTATTCTTAGTTGTGGCTGGTTTATACTTCTTCGTGAATAACTTTTGAAGAATTAAATTAATTAAAACATCAAATTATGACTAAAAATCAAAAATAGCGATGAAATAAAATTAATATTAATATTAAGGGCTCAAATTTTCACCAAATTTTTTTTTATTCATTCTGAATGACATTCTCGATATATTTAAAAAAAAATAGTCAATTTTTTTGGCCCAGTCTAATATATATATATATATATATATATATATATATATATATATATATATATATATATATATATATATATATATATATATATATATATATGTATCTATTAAACTTATCCATGACATTTTACTGCCGAGGCAGTAGGTTGTGTGCGAGGTAATTAATAAGCTTTCGCCGCCGTGTTTTATATACTATTTTTTTTCAAGCTCTAAATTTCGATATTTTTTTGAAATTTTGTAACCTCATTTTTAGGTTAGGTTTAACTGTCAGACGACAAAATGTCACCATTATTGTTCGGCGGTCAATAATAATTTGACTTTTGAACTAGTACAATAATGTAGTGACTACTAGTTCAAAAGTCAAATTATTATTGACCGCCGAACAATAATGGTGAGATTTTGTCGTCTGACAGTTAAACCTAACCTAAAAATGAGGTTACAAAATTTTAAAAAACTACATTGGAGTATTTCTATATAGACTTATGAGGAATATAATATGAATATTATTATACACTTGGAAAAAATATGTTTCTTACTTACCTACCAATTTAGTATGAAATTCGTATCCAGACTAACAAAATAAAATAAAAGTCGAAAACAAAAAACACAACACGACCATTTCCACTAAACAGACTCGAGTTTCAAAACACGTCGAAACCTTTTGATGTTACCGCTTTCGAGCGGGACTCGAAAAACAAAACTCAAACTGTCGCAAAACACGCCAGTCTTCAAAAAGTTTGCAAAAAGTTGCAGTTTTGTTTTATTCGACACGAGTTTGTGTTTTGTCCGTTTGGTGGAAAACCGGCATTACAATTATTATTTTAGTGTTTACCTTGCGCAAGTAAATAATTTTGAAAAGCTCACTCGCGCGAGGTTTACTCGCGTGTAGAGTACTAGTCCGAGGCTTAATCTCGCGAGTCTTAGTCGCGCGAGGCTTAATCGCGTAAGTCTTAAACGCACGAGTCTTACCAACGCAAGGCTTATTTGTGCTATTTTTACTCGCGCGAGTTTTAGTCGCGCAAGGCTAACCAGCGCCAGGATTACGCGCGCGAGTATTGGTCGCGCGACAGTCTTAGTCGCGCGGGCTTATCAGCGAGAGGATTACGCTCTCGAGGATTACTCGGGCGAGTATTTGTCGCGGGGGCTTACCAGCGCGAAGATTATTCGCACGAGTCTTAGTCGCGCGAGTCTTACTCGCTAGGCCAATTTGGTGGAGCCTCGCCTGTACGCAAATAAGCTCTGCCCGAGTAAGGTTTCGTGCGAGAAAGACCTTATGCAAGTAAAATCTCGCGGATGTAATTTTTTACGCTTGTAATCAGTTGTTAATTTTTAATAACTACTTCTACTATTCTACTCCTTCGAGACATTTACCTCATCCTCGTTAATAATGGCCTAAATTACCTCTTGTTTAATGACATAATATTATTTTTTTATTACTAAACGTAAAATTTATAAGCATTTTATTATTTAATTTGTTTTCATAATTTATAATAAAATATTTTATCCCATAGTGCGACACTTTCGGCCATTTAATAAATCCTTAAAATATAAACATCAATAAAACTTCAACCAATAGAACTAAACCAAGGGCAGATGTACTTATTCAAGACTAATTGACTTTATCAAGATTGTGTTTAATTATAAAATACACTCATAAAACCTCTTTAAATCTAAGAAGCATGCGCACCAAATTTTCTAGAAACCTAACCTTACTTAATGTGTATGTTTACATGTACCATTTTCATTACTTAAGTTAGACTTAATATTAATAGAAAGTTTTACATTTCTTTTTTGGATATTGCAGTAACAATTAACTTTACATTTTCTGTAAAAGTGTACACTTCTTGTTTTACGAAGAGAATTATCCATAAACGTTGTCATTTTACCTATAGCTAAAGCTATAGCTATGACGTTCCGCAACATTTATATGGAACTAACTGCTTTTATCAAGTTTTTAAAGGTTTTGTCCAAGTAAAGTTAGTTTTATTGTGTATTTTAATTAGAGTATTATAAAATATAGTTTTATTAAACTCTTACTTAAGTTAAAGGAGTTTTAATCCTACCTTCAACAAAAGTTATCTCAAAGAACACTTTAAGATTAAAAATAAAAGCAATTTTAAAACAAAATTATATTTATTTCGAACTAATAAAACCACATTGCTTTTAAGAGAATTTTAAGATAATATACTCTTATTGAGGTTTGATTAAAGTACAAATGAAGTCATTTTTAAGAGCAAATGATCTTAAATGCTAGATAGTTTTAAGGAGATGCCTTCACGATAGCTATAAAACTCCCTTTTAAAACCATATCCTCTCGAAGTGTAATTAGTATTTATAAAAGCCATTTTAAAATAATTTACACTTTTTCCGCTATAATAAAACTGCCTTAAAACTAAGTCAAGTCAATTTGGATTTTAAAATGTTACTTGGGTAGTGAAAATTTCAGCGATTTGCATAAAAGAACTTGTGACACAGTTAGCCTAGAGGGCCTTTTCAAGAAAAAAAATATACATGATTTAAAACTGGGATTTTTGCAATACATATAAGATTTACTACTATTATCAAAAAAAATTAAAATCTTCTATCGAGCCCTTTTCGAGAAATTGTAGAAAATGTTTTTTTTTGCTAGACATGTAAAAATGACCTATTAAAATACTATATTTTATTTTATTTCTCTTAAGATGATGTTGTGAACTACAACATTTGGTTAGTTTCTAACCTATAAATATGTAAAATAAACAATATCGTCAATATTTTGATTATTTTAATACTAACTGTCACACCGTCATCTTGCAAGCTGCTTTGGGGGATCACTGGATATTAATTATGAAATTTACATTGAAAGATTTGCGTGCGAGTTAGAAAAGCTAGAAATTTCATGTACATCAAAAATGCATGTGTTAGTTCATCATGTTCCAGAATTTATTAAGATGACGAATACTCCACTGGGCTATTATTCTGAACAGGCATCAGAACAATGCCATCATGCCTACAAACAGCACAGTTTACATTATAATTTAAACCATAATTCTAAGAATTATCTTTACAATTTGCTTAGAAGCGTTTGTTCTTTTAATAGTAAACATATTTAAGTCTGATTTTGATTTGTAGTTGTTTATTTGGTAAGCATTTAGGTAAAGTATTCGTTAAATATCTTCTTTATTCTTAATCATAAATTAAAATTAGGTACTAGTATTTACAGTTTGGTGTTAATGTTGTGATGAACGATTTAAATACTATTTTTTTTTTATATAATTCCAAGTTTGAGGACTGTATTTACAATATGGCTGTATCATCCACCACAAAAAGAAAATGTAAAATTTATTAATTATTTTAATAACTATCTAGACCAAGTTAGTACGCATGAGGGTATCAATATTATTGTCGGTGACTTTAATTATGATCTAACAAAATACTCTTTTTATGGTGATAAAATATTAAGAAATATATTTTCTAATGGTTTCACACAAATTGTTGATACCCCCACGCGTATTACAAATGTCAGTAGTACACTTATTGATTACATTATAACTAATAATAAGAATTTATCATTCAAAGTTCATTTATCGCCCAAAATAAGTGATCATTGCTTAATATCAGTTCAACTTGAACAAAAAACGCACGAGTCCATTACTACTGTCAATCGCAGATCAATGAGAAATTATAACACCAACAATCTACAAGACTACTTACTCGACATCGAATGGAACAATAGCTCAAGTGATGTAAATATTCTAGCAAATAATTTTATTAACGACATCAGCAGGGTTTTTAACGAGAAGTGTCCTAAAAGAACTATTTCTTTTTGTAATAAATATGAAAATAAAAAATGGATCACACCTCAAATTAAACAACAAATGCAAGAAAGGGACAGTTTATATGTTAGAGCAGTACAAGAAAAAAACAATGTTATTTGGTCTGAATACAAAAGATTGCGAAATTGCATTGTAAGTTCAATTAAATGTGAAAAAGACAAATTCTTTAAACAAACTATTTATGATAATAAAAATAATTCTTGTAAAATGTGGAAAAATTTAAAACTTTTGCTACCTGAAAAAATAAGCTCGTCACCTGCGGAAATAAATTTTGAAGGCACAGTCATAAAGAATGAATTAGACATTGCAAATAAGTTTAATAATTATTTTGTTAATAGTATAGTAGACATTGTAAGTGTTATCCCAAAACATCATGCAGTTGCCAGTAATGTTGAATTGTCCCCTGTATTCCATGTTTTTGAAAAATTCCAAAGTGTGTCAATGACTGAAATGAAAAAAATTATAAAGACTATGAAAAATGTTGGTGGTTGTGAAAGTGGAGTGTCAAAAAAAGTCCTTTGTGATATTTGTGATGTTGCGGGAAATCGTCTGTTGGATGTTTTAAATACATCCCTTTACACCGGAGTATTTCCAGAAGAATGGAAGAGATCCATAATTGTCCCAGTACCAAAGGTCCAAAAAACGATACTTCACAATCAGTTTAGGCCCATTAATACCGTCGAAGTCTACGAAAAGGTTTTGGAACTAGTGGTCAAGAAGCAGTTACAATATCATTGCGACGTAAATAACATTTTAGTGTCTAATCAGTCCGGTTTTCGATCAAATCATTCATGTGAGTCCGTTGTTGTAAATATATGTGATACATTTGTTAAACTGATTGATAAGGGTAAAATAGTGCTGGCTGTGTTTTTAGATTTAAGGAGAGCATTCGAAACGGTTGATAGGGATATATTAATAAATAAACTAAACAAATATGGCTTAAACGCAACAGTGTTGAAGTGGTTTAAGTCATACTTAACTAATAGACAACAAAAAGTCAAATATAAAAACGCAACATCAAATCCTGTTTTTGTAAATTATGGAGTACCGCAAGGTACTGTGTTAGGTCCATTATTATTTTTGTTGTATGTTAACGATATAGTAAAGGTTGTCAAACACTGTCAAATTGAATTATTTGCAGACGACACGATGGTTTATGTAAGCGGAACTGATGTTAAACACATGGAAAAAATCCTAAATCATGATCTTGATTGCATATTTAAATGGCTGTGCAATAATAATTTAAGTATAAATACTGATAAAACCAAATTTTGCTTGTTTGGAAGAAAATCAAAATTAAATCTTAATGCCTTAAATAATGTCAGTATTGTGATAAATAACATAAATATTATGCCTGTAAACCAGATTAAATACCTGGGTGTTATATTTGACAACGAGTTAAATTTCCATGCTCACGCAGACTATATATTGCGAAAGTTTTCTAAAAAAGTAAATTTTATTTCTAGAATTGGTAAGCATTTAACGATGCATACAAAATTGTTATTATACAACAGTATAGCATCTAGAGTTCTGCTCCACCATTCTGTTCAATTTACCAAATTATATAATACAAAAGTTCCAAGTGGTACAAAATAGAGCATTACGAACAATATTAAAATGTAATTTTTATACACCTGTTTTATCTATGTTAAATGTCCTAAATGTGCTTTCCGTCAAACAAAAAATTATATTTAATGTATTTCTGTTAATTTTTAAAGTTAAAAATAAAATGTTACCTGATTATATCTGTAAAAAAACACAATATTTTAAAGAAGTCCACTCATATAACACTAGAAATTGTAATGATTTTATATTGACTGATAAGTGCAACACCAGCCAAATGCTAAACTCTATTATGTATAAAGGTCTTTTAGAATTCAATAAATTGCCCAATGATATTAAAGTCTGTGATAATATTAAAAAATTTAAGATGTTACTTAGAACATATGTGTTAATAATGTTTTAATGTTTGTTATTGTACTTTTTACATTTATTTATATATTTTTAAAATTTCTCATGTTGTTATGTTTTTTAAAAATGTAAACTTACCCATTTGTCTATTTTATTAATTTTAATCTTAATTTACTTTGTGATTCGTATGTAGCTTTTGCTAAATAAATATTATATTATTATTATTATTATTATTATTATTATTATGGCCAACTTCGCAAGCGAAGCGGTGCGGTGTGACAGTTAGTATTAAAATAATCAAAATATTGACGATATTGTTAATTTTACATATTTATAGGTTAGAAACTAACCAAATGTTGTAGTTCACAACATCATCTCAAGAGAAATAAAATAAAATATAGTATTTTAATAAACAAAAAAAACATTTTCTACAATTTCTCGAAAAGGGCTCGATAGAAGATTTTAATTTTTTTTGATAATAGTAGTAGATCTTATATGTATTCCAAAAATCCGAGTTTTAAATCATGTATTTTTTTTTCTTGAAAAGGCCCTCTAGGCTAACTGTAGCTTCACGTGAAGCTACGTTACCCAATGTTCGCAATATTTGTTACATGATTCGGTTGTGTTGTGTTCGTGTAATTTTTAATAAAAATTTGTTTATTTATAAACTAACTTGTTTTTTATTTAACCCTCTTTAAATGTATACAGGGCGTCTCAGAAGTCGCGCACCATCTTAAAGGTGGAAGATCTACCGACCCCCAGGAATTCTAGAAAATTGTTAAAAATATCTACCTTTATTATTTAAACATTAAGTTTCTAAACTTAAAAATAATAACCTCAATTATAATGTTTTTAGTCTATATAGCTTGGTTAGGAATTAATATTTCATTTCAATATTTGCATTTAGCTTTAACCTATGCGTTTGGCAACAGGATTGTTATCTGTTGACATTTATTTAGTGAGTATTGTGATCTGTGTGTTGTGTTTGAAGAAGGCTTAAACAAATATCAATCATTATTGTTAATATTTGTTTAGTTTTTCTTCATAATTTATTCTATGGTTAAATTAGTTCCTGACAAAAAACTCCCTGTATTTGCTTCTGTCAAGTGTGACGTAAAATAAATAACCTCTAAGCAAAAGTAACGAATCTGATCAATTAAATTAGCGTTCTGACCACAGGTCTGTGGTTCTGACCATAGATAACAAACCCTGACTATTTGAAATAAAATAGTGCAAAACTGTCCATAAATTTTAGTGATTATAATAATAGTGATAATTTAATTTGTAGGTACCGTTTTATAACTAACGGACTTTACCAAAATAAAAATACTTAAACTAGGTATTACCTAAATTTTAAAATTTACCCACTCCGTTTTATAACTAATGGGCTTTATTAAAATAAAAAAAATACCTAAAATATTACCTAATATTTTGAAAATCAACATTCCAAAGTGATTAAGACGGCCATGTGGAGCTTGTAAACAAACAAAGACCCCTTATTCTTAGGCTTATGGTCCAACGCAGTGGTTGTGTGTTTCAATAAATTTCGTTTACTTATTTAATTGCATTATAAAGTGAAGTTATATCTTATAAAAGTTTGTTAACAAAAAGGATTCATTCGGTTTAGGTAAGTTATAATGTTAATTAGTTGAGTAACAAAAATAGACAAATTTTCATAATCCAAAAGAAATTTTGCACTTATGTATTATGTATTTTCATTTATTCTGGATGGTTGAATTTCACTGGGACAATTCCAACTTTCTTAAATTGTTGTATCCTTTACTTACTTAAACCTTAAACAATTAACAAAATATTCTCAAATAAAAAAATGAGATATATGAGCAATATCCACAGGGCGGGTCATAGAGATTAGCGGCTTTAAACAATTTAAAGCAAAAGCAAACGATATTTTGTTTAGTAATGTATGACTATTAAGCGGCTTAATATATTTTTTTTTACAGAACCTAAATAATACCATGGTCGAGAACGAAGTATATTTATTTGATGACTTTGTCACCGAAGATAGTATTTACATTATAGATACTAAGTTTGTAGAAAAGGAAAACGATTGTCGGGCTGAGTAAGTATTTTATATTTACAATGCATACACAAAATATATGTAAATATTTGTTAATAGAACGAAAATGTTTGGGGATTTGGTCCCCCTACATTTGAACTCAATTTTGGCCAAAATTCATAATTGAGCTTTTAAGTCAAAGAGTCCTATTTTAAATGTACGCTAATTTTCAAGTAGTGGTCATTCTGACAATGTAAGATTCAAAATAATTAAAATATTTTAAAAATGAATTCGTTTACGTAATATTTACTAAAAAAATAAAACGGTGTTTTCTAGCATTTAATACTAAATAAAAATTGTTTTAGCTGTGAAACCTCAGATACACATGTATCCATTAATAGTGATAAATTGAGTGAATTTTCTGAAGGATCCAGAAATACCGGACAATCCCAAGTCAATAAAGAAATTAAAGAAGAAATAGAGAAGCATTGCCTGGATGATTTATATGTTGAAAGCGAGTAAGTATTATTTTTATTTCGCGCAATAATGAACTAAAACCTGTATTTTAAAAATAAAAATTATGTTTTCGAGTTTTTTAAATTTAATTTCAAGCATTTAAAAAAACGATAAAAATAATATTATAATCTATATATCCTACATATGCTATTTTTCGGCATATAAATCCTAACTTTGTCACAAAGATATTCCCAGATAGCACAAGAGGTACCCAGGACATACATTTCGGGTCCCACATAGATCCGAACGTCCTAGACCTATATCGGGAGTTTTGGGTACGTCCAGTCTCTTACTTATTTGGGAAAATTATAGCGGATTTATTGGGTACGTCCCAAGGACGTAATTGAAGCATTGTATTTCCAAAGGGTCTAGGTGCCAAGTTGGTTAAATAATCTATTATCATTTAAAAATAGTTTGTGTCATGCAGAATGACTTAATAGTATATTCTGTAACAAGTTTGGAATACAGCATATCCGCTGGAGTAAAGAGTTTGTCACACGAGCCGAAGGCGAGTTTGACGATTTCAGGAGAGCGGAATATGCAATTCCAAACGTGTTTCAGACATTTTAACATTTACATGTGCAAAATATTTGTTTTTCAATGATAACTCACAATTTTATTTTTGTAAGTTAGACCCCCCAGACAGCATCCAATTCAGAAAGATTTCTGTATGAAGTCTGTTAAAAAACATCTTACTGAGGTCACAATATGACATCTTAGAGAAATCATTTTTAGGAGCTCAAGATTAAGAGTTCTTGATGAATTCATAAATAAGAAGTACATTTTTTAACATCTTAAAGTATCTTTTTTTCTGACCTCTTATTGGAATCAAAATTAGAAGCCACTAAGGGTAGGTATCATAAATAAGACTTTAGTTATATGATATCTTACAGTATTCTCTTTTCTTACTTCTTACTGAAATCATATTATTAACTCTTTAAGACGTCAACATGGAAACGTCACATTTATGACATTTTAATGCGATTCTTTCTTCTCACCGCTGTAACTGCTTGTGTTTGATTTAAGAAGCGGCGAAGTAGAATTTAGAGCGTGCTCCATACCAAACGGCCTTAGACCTAGGTAAACGGCGATACTGACGAGCTCCAAAAGAGGGAAACAGGCCGTCTATTGGTGCCGGTGAAGAGCACGCTTAAATTTAAACAAAAGCGAGACGAAGTAATCGCAATTCCTATAATAAGCGAATACGAGTAAATTATTAAAATGATTTTAATAAAATTCATTTAACAAATTAATAAAATAAGACTTAATTAAGACGTCATATTGTTGTCTGGGCCTTTGGGAAAACCACTCTTCAATTCTGTAAAGCTTGTCCATTAGTCCCCAATAAAGCATTTCAGGATGACTAGAGAATGTCTTACTTAGGACGTTCTGGGGACCGACGAGTTGGTAACATCGGATGTCCCTGGAACGTCCTGGGGAAGGTTCAGGACCTGATTCGGACGTACTCGGAACTTACTAATGTCTGATACAAGATATACTCAGGACGTTTTTAGTACTTCTTTGTGCTATCTGGGTTAAAACCTAACATTAGGGTGTTCCAAAATTATATGGGGAAATTATATTTAATATGTGGTCTATGGTTATTTACATTTGTGTTTATGCTTCACTCATACTTATTTACTCATAGTTCGTATAATAATATTCAGTTCTGAAAAGTTGAAAAACAATAAGGTCGGTGGGTTTCTTTCAGAGCACTGAACAGATTTGAAAATTGGCCATCTGATCCGGTTATCTCAGAATGTCGTATAAAGTGTTTTAAGAGGATAGTTATTAATGATACTGCCGAACAGGCAATCAGTCTTATTCGAAAATAGAACCAATTATTGAACAAGCACGAAGATCAGATTCAGTTTATTTTTCATCTAGCTGAAAATCACCTAAGCCATAAAAAGCCTCCCTTATTATACGTCTTATATTATGATTTTAGTGTTTCATAATATACATTTTTCTATTAAACGTTACACGTTATGGACGACCTTTAAATGTTATTTGATTCCATAGAGACAACATAATTAAAGCTTTTATTTTGTACCCCCCTAATACCCATTTATAATTTTAGATTTAAAATCAACGATAGTGCTGAAAAAATTGACAATTCTGATGTTGGAGATGAAAGTAAACATTTCTATTGCAATATTAAAGAAGAAGGAAGGGACGGTGACTTTTCTGAAGAAGATGATCAAAATTCGGCACACAATGAAGAAAAAAATGAGGATGAAGCCATGTTTGAGACGAAAATCGAGTTGGAATATCATGGGGTTCAATGTAGTGATATGAGTGGCAAGGAAAAGTTATTTAAATGTGACTTTTGTCTTAAGAAATTTCAAAGAAAGGGGAATTTATTAAATCATAAAAAGAATTTCCACTTAAAAGACAAACAGGAACAATTTAAATGCAACAAATGTGACTACGTAACTGTAAAAAAACGTTATTTTAATAGGCATTTAATAATTCACGATAAAAAAAAATATTTCAAATGTCATTTCTGTCCACACATGGCTGCCGAATTAAAGACTTTAAATTCGCACATTCTAAGCAAACATAAAATAGAAAATGTAGGAGAAAATAAAATAAAAATAACAAGTAAAATCCATGAGTGCACTAAATGTCCATATTCAACTCTAAATAAAACAACTTATGAGAATCATATTAAAGTTTGTTTGAAATTGAAAAATGTCGAATGGTATAAGTGTCAAATTTGCCACTTTAAAACTATTCGAAAAGGTACTTTAACAAGGCATATTAAAACTCATACTAAAATAAAAGATTTGAAATGTTCTTTTTGTCATTATCAATGTAACAGAAAAGATAATTTAGACAACCATATTTTAAGAAACCATTAGGATTTATTGAAAGAAAACAATAAAAATATCATCAATTCCAAAATACATTGTTAATAAAAATTTCCTTATTTAGAAACTATTTGTTTTTTATTTTACCCTCTTCAAATGTATACAGGGCGTCTCAGAAGTCGCACACCACCTTAAAGGTGGAAGATCTACGAAAGGATGTGCAACAAATGATTATCACAACAATTAATTGGGGTATTGACTTAATATCTGTTGACATCACAACATAGACAATGATTTACATTTATGCATAACCATGGTTAACCATGGTTAAAATTCAAAATTTATTATTATTATTCTGTCATAGAATTTCTGTTAAATATTTATACCTATGTATTTATTTAGTGAGTAGTATTTTAATTTGAGTGTTGTGTTTGAAGAAGGCTTAAAAATGTCAGTCAGCCTGCAGGCTGACACATGTGTGTGTCTGTGTGTGTCAATGTATTGTTTATGTTTGTTTAGTTTTTCTTTATTATGGTTAAATGTTCCTGACAAAACTCTAACGTAAAATAAATAACCTTTAAGCAAAAGTAACGAATTTGACACTTTTTAATATTGTATACAACATGATGATTAAGAATGAAAGCATTATTGAAATACCAGGCTTGTCAACAATACATTTGAAGCATACGAACATCATTCATAAATAGATAATTAGTTTTTTCTACTAGCGTGCGTAAAGTAACACTTATCCTCTGAGTATTGTGATGTGTGTGTTCTTCGCGTATTGCGATTGTAATTGTAAAAGTGTCGCGTTGTAATATGAGGAGCCGTTTGCGTCAAAATATAATAACTCTCACAAAACATAGAATTTAACGGAAAATGCATAAAAACACAAAATAGGTACATAAAATATAACAAAACAAATAAAATCCAACAAAACATATAATACACCTGTAACAAAAAAAATCAAACAAAACCTATAATATACCTATAATAAAACAAATAAAATCCAACAAAATATAGAAAATCAAACAAAACATAGAAAAGCCAACAAAATATTAAAACTCGGGTTCCTCACTTGACCGTTTGAGGGCGCTCGACGCACAAGAATCAAAAACTTACCGTATTGGCTAAAAATCTTCCACTATTAGTTTTCTTGTTTGTTTTGTTATATTTTATATACCTATTTTGTGTTTTCTATACATTTTAGCTTTAACGCATGCGTTTGGCAACAGGATGTGCACAACAATTAATTAGTTAATTGATTCCCTGGCGAATTCACTAAACGCAAAATTAACGTTAAGTTGCGCACAAGTATCACCCATAATTAACTTAAAATTAACGTTGATTTTGGGTTAAAATCTCGTTTCTTAACGCAAATTCAACGTAATTATTTGCAGTTTTGTGCCGATTTACGATTTTATGTTAAGTTTGAGTTTATTTTTAGTCAAGTTTCCGTTGAATTTGCGTTAAGTTTGCGTTGAATTTACGTCAACTTTAAGTTAGGTTTGCGTTAAATATAGGTAAGTTTTGCGTCTACTTTAAGTTAAGTATGCGTTGAATTTGCGTCAACTTTGCGTTTAATTTGGGTCAGTTTTCCGTTAACTTTGAGTCTACTTTAAGTTTAGTTTGCGTTAAGTTTCGATTCATTTAACGTAAAATTTCTGTAAGTAAAAGGCATAAGGGGATAAGTCAAAAAAAGCAATTTTTAATAGAGCCTTTAACGTGTTCGCATTAATTCAGGAAATATATTTATGTTTAGCGGGTATACGCTTTTGTGCCTTTTAACCACAGATTTGTGATAAAATTTTGATAAGTTTTTTATTTATTAACCCAAATTAAACTTATTTCCATCAACTATATTAACATTTTAGGGTTGATTTATATTGATTAATTGAAGCTTTGCTACAAAACGGTTAACCACCCTTAACCAGGACCGGCTTAAGGCAATTCTGCGCCCTAGGCACTTAAAATTTGGCGCATATTACTATATACTATACTTACGGGGCCCAGGGCAAATTTTAGAAAAGTTAATCAGAGACACCCCAATCTGTTATCTTAAGGGCTCCCGGGCTTACTAACCAAATTATCCCGTATGAATTAAAATACTTTTTATTAAAAACTAGGTTTATTAAAAACATAAATAACATACAAACATAATAAATAAAATGTTCATAAAAAGTGTAAATGTTAAAATTTATAAGTGCCTTTTTTTGCAAAGGATTGCAAGATGTCATTACCCAAGTAGCAAAACTGGTTAAATAACTAGCATTCTAAGTAAAATAACCAACATCAAAGTAAAATAACGGTTTTTTTAACATGTTTTTTAACCAATTAGTTGTATTCAACCATTAACATTTTTTAAGGTAACTAAAAAATAACCCTTTAGATTTACCTACTGCACTCAGAGAAATATCATGTCATGAAAAGCATATAAAATTTTATTAATTTAAATAATCTGGTAAATTTGATTCAAATAGAAAAATTTGTAGTTTTATATTTATTTACCAACAGTTTCACAATGTTTTTAAACACTTTTAAAGTGTACCCTCTTTAAAGTATATACAAAAAGAAATATATTTATTTCATTGCCTTTCTCAACGTTGTTTCAAAAAGATATGTATTATACAATGGTTATAAACCTATTAATTTAATGGGAAACACCAATGACGCCAAAACATATTTGAATCCCTTTGAATTATTATCGTTTTGAATGATTCTACAACATTTTTTCTCTCAGTGTGGTTGCTATAACCTCAAGGTAAATTCAAAGGTTATTTTTTAGTATAATGTAACTAATGAAACAAACCTATTGGTAATATTACTAACTAGTTAAATAATATTTGGTTTACCTATAGGTAAATTAAGATTATTTCAAGAGTTTAAATTGACTATAAATAAACCAAATATTTAACCAGTTAATATTACTCATAAGTTAAAAAGTAGGTTATTTTAGAAGTTACATAAAGTTATATTAGCTCTAATATTAACATTTAAAAATGGTTAAGAGTAGTTATTTTTTTAGATATATTTTGGTTTAGTCTATAAGTAATATCTATAGATATATAGGTATATTCTCTTAAAATGAAAAAGTCAAAAATGACTAATTATAAGTCATATTTGACCTATTGTCATACCGACAGCAGTCACTAATAATTAGTCAAATAGTACCGAATGAAACAGTCAAATTAGTAAATTTGAAAAAGTTTGACCCAGCTGAGGTTTGAACTCGGCTCTCTAACTTGTCAAACGGATGCACCACTGCTACTTTTTTAAAAATTTGTTATATCTGTTAATCAATACTTATTGTTAATAATATATAAAAGTTGAATATATTTTTTGTGTTGCTGTTTGGAGCTAGCATCTGTTTTTATGGGCCATTTAACCATGAAGCCTATATGCATTTAACGCTAACAATAATTTGTTGTTGGCCGCAAGAATTAAAAACGAATAAAGAAATTAGTTACTTATTCCTCTTAGAAACAGTAAAAGATCTTAAATTATTTAAACTTTAACCATTTAAGTAGTAAAAAATAACTATTTAAAAGTGAAAACGACTATTTTAGTAGTAAACAATGCTGATACTAATTCAAATTATAATTTGAATTAGTATCAGCATTGTTTATATATATAGAATTTTGACTATTTCATTTCAAGAATACATAACAATATTTAGTAAATTATAATTATATAGTTAAAATAAACTTAAACTGATTAATTGGGTAAAGTTTAAGTTGATTTAATAGTTAAAAAGTAGTAAAAAAGGGTAAACTAAACCAAAAACTACCAAATATTAAAAAACACCTTGAAACATACACTATCTAACTATCGAACACAGATTGCTATCTAATATAAATACTGATTAATTTCACCTTAGGTATGTATGTTGCATAAAAACAGAAGTGAATTTGCGGCAAGCTTTTGTCTTTTGTCGGCTTTACATCGCGTTATTACAACAGTAAAGAATATATTATTTTCATAATTGTACAATGTTATTTTTTCTTTTGAGAATTTTTATTTTTTAGTTGGTTGGGGACAATGCGCCTATTTCTTCGTGGCGCCTTAGGCAATTGCCTTGCCTGCCTAATGGGTAATATGGCCCTGCCCTTAACCGTGACAGGGACGAGGTCCATGTTTTTTTAAAGCTGGGATTTTAATGAAAACTCTAATTTAAAGTATAAAAATAATTTATTATAATACATATACACTACATATACCTCCTACCTCCTACCTATATTACTATAATAGTAAACAAAAATAAATTATTTAAATTGCGAAGCCAGCTCTCATGCGTTGAACTCCCAAAGGCTTATCTGAAAAACAAAAAATAAACAAATTATTATATATTTTCTTCTAAATGGTTATTTACAACTAAATATTACATTTAATTTTTATAAAAAATAAATTGAAGAAGTTAATTTTTTACCGACTTTTAATAAAAAATCAAAATCGACTCAAAACGAACGCAAATTCAACGCAAATTAAACGCATATGTTTGATAAAAATTCATTTATTATTACGTTTAATAATTTATTTTTATTTGTTTTTGATTCAAGCAATTAATTTAAAACCAAAAATAACTTAAAAAATCTAATTCTTTACCAACAATTAATAAAAAATAAAAATCGACTCAAAACGAACGCAAATTCAACGCAAATCCAACGCAAATGTTGAAGACTGAATTTTTATAAAAATTCATTTATTATCACGTTTAATAATTTATTTTTATATGTGTTGATTCAAGCAATTAATTTAAAACCAAAAAACTTTAAAACATCTAATATATTATTGTTTTACCGACTTTTAATAAAAAATCAAAATCGACTCAAAACGAACGCAAATTCAACGAAAATCCAACGCAAATGTTGAAGACTGAATTTTTATAAAAATTCATTTATTATCACGTTTAATAATTTATTTTTATATGTGTTTGATTCAAGCAATTAATTTAAAACCAAAAATAACTTTAAAAAATCTAATATATTATTGTTTTACTGACTTTTAATAAAAAATCAAAATCGACTCAAAACGAACGCAAATTCAACGCAAAT